GCTATCAGAGGTTGCATCTAAGCTGATCGTAACTGAAGAATGCTAGAGATCTTACTGATTCCGTGAAAAGTACTGGGTTCGCCGCATGGAGGACTCGGACAATGACATGCTGTAGCACACGTTTATTGTACTTCACATAGACAAAGACTAACTCTAATGGCCAACAGGGCCAACTATATACATATCCACCAGCAACCCCCCCATTCCCATTGGAGGGTTTAAATGTCCCGCCAAGGTGGCTATTGGTTGGGGCTGGGGAATCCAGGATCCGAAGTTTCCTTTTTTTCGGATCCAAGCTCTGACCTGTCCACGGACCCCTGGAGGCGGTCCACGTACATAACATTCCGTATATCCTTTTTCAGCAGTCGTGACTGAGGGAGGGGTTATCACCTCCTCCAGTCCAAACACAAGAAAATAAAGCCAACCTGAGCCCCGGTCACACAGGCCAGATAACGCGGGGGGGGGGCGTGGCTGTTCGCCCCGGAGCAAAATAAAGCGCAATAGCCTGATCACACGGTCCCCCGAGGCTTCGCACTTAGGCTGTTAGCTGGCGATCACATGGCGATGGTGGAGCGTGGCAAAGAAGCGGCACGGCAAGCATTTCGCGTTTGTGCACATGTGCAGTTCTGCGGAGCAGCATTGCTTTCAGTTACGTGTTTGTGCGCATGCGCTTACGAGAACCATCCAGTTTGCGATGGGACATGGATGGGCGCCAGATGCCACGGGATACTAGCGCTCCCGCGATCAGACGCCCGCCCCTGCCCCAGATTTTCTGGATACTGGTGCACTTTCTGAGGTACTTTTTTTGTTGTTGTTGTTGTTCAGTCGCACAGTCGAGTCCGACTCTTCGCGACCCCATGGACGAGCTCTCTCCAGGCCTTCCGGTCTTCTGCCGTCCTCTGAAGTTGGCTCAACTTCATGTTCGTTGCATCGATGACACTGTCTAACCATCTCATCCTTTGCCGTCCCCGTCTTCTTTGACCTTCAATCTTTCCCAGCATCAGGGTACCCGCAGAGAAAGATTTTATCTCGACTTAGGTCAGCGTCCCAGTGGTGCTCACAAACAGGAAGCAGCTGTTTCTCATTGTTCACCCCAGGCCACCATCACTTGGATGAAGTTGTCACTTTGGACCAGAGATACTGTTGATTCCCCCCCTCCCCAGCACACAACCAAGGGGGGTGGGACACAGTCACACACTAGCCCTGTTCCCAGGTTGCAGTGAAGACGCATAACAATCTGTGTACAGTGCACACTTGATATTTTTTATACGTGCATTGAGTAGTTCTCATATTTTACACATGTACAGCTGAAAGCATGCATGTATCCAAGTGGTGGGCCCCAGTTTCATTTATGAGAAAGGTGGGATATAAATGAATGAATGAATGAACTGCTGGATGCACAGCAGTCTTGTTAACCCAAGTAGCATGCCTCTTCCTTTGGGCTCTTCCTCTAAAATCCACCTCTGGGACTGCCTGATCGTCCTTCAGTGTCTTCAAAAGGACGTTCCCTTGCCTGTGCACATTCATCCCTATTTAACTGATTAATTGGGCATCTTTTAGATGATTAGTATTGCCATCTTAAGCAGATCCGTACCCTTTCTAATTCCATTAGAGTTAGATGGCTTAGAAGAGGATAGCTCTGCTTAGAATGGCACTTTAAACCGACTAAAAGTTCTCTAAATGGCTCAGCTCTAGGGATGCCAGCCTCCAGTAGGCTTGCCAAGTCCCCCTGGGGGGCGGGTAAACCCCCGCCCGAGAGGCCCGTTACCCGACGCCAGCAAATCGGGCCCCGGGGGAAACTCCACCCCCTTCCGGCACACGTCCCCAGGTGACATCATCACGCTGGCCACGTTAGGGGCGGGACGCTCTATGATTTGAGGGAAAACTCTATGGTTTTCCCTCGAATCCTAGTGGCCCTGCCCCAACGTGCCGACGCGATGACGTCACTTCCGGGTGGCGTCATTGCGGCGGCGCGCGCACTTCGCACACACACACACAGACTCCCGGACCAGCACGGGATTCCCCCAAGGTAAGTTATTTTGGACTTGGCAACCCTAGCCTCCAGGTGGGACTTGAGAGCCAGTTTGGTGTAGTGGTTGAGTGCGCGGACTCTAATCTGGGAGAACCAGGTTTGATTCCCCACTCCTCCACTTGCACCTGCTGATGTGACCTTGGGTCAGTCACAAGCTCTGGCACAGCTGTCCTTGAAAAAGAGCAGTTTGTGTCAGAGTTCTCTCAGCCCCACCCACCTCACAGGGTGTCTGTTGTGGGGAGGGGAAGGGAAAGGAGTTTGTAAGCCGCTCTGAGAC